ACGAGTACAGCATAGGATCTACCATCACTGGTTATTCGGAATGGCCGCACAATTGCAATGGACTATCGGTGGTGGTGCTGTGTACACGATCAGCCATGAGAAAGGGCCTGAGCAAAGGCAGGGAGGACAAAGGGCCTGGCAAATTTAGGACCGTGAGCAGTTCTGCTTGACTAGAATACAAGGGAAGAAATTAGGCATGCCTAAAAAGATAACCCTGTATCTCAAGGTAGTTAATTTAGATTTCATCTAGGAGACTAAGGAGAATTTCTCACCCTTTCCCCAGTCACTACAAATGCACACACATGTATACCTCATACGTTCTGTGGTCCTAATCTCTTACAGCCCATTAGGATCCTCAGAATATTTTCTAATACCTCCGTTCTTCTTTAACTGTCCTTGTCCATGTCTTCCTTTGTTACGGAATCTATCACATTGAACTAGAATTTTCTCTTTATGTCATATAATCTATCACACTGAATGGCACAAGGGAGCTTAGGTTTACTGAGCTTGCATTCACTTAACAAGTAACTCCGGAAAAATTAATCATATGTTCTAATGTCTGAAAGGTCAGACCCAATAGGTATTAATAGATGCATTGCAATTCAAGATGAGAAAAAATATTTAGGGCTTCTTTAACAAAACAAAACCTGATGAATGAAGGGAGGCTGCTTTCAAAGTTGAAACAGAGACAGACACTTATGAAGGTTGGAATAGTCTTGAGGACATCATGCTACATAAAATAAGCTAGTCACAGAAAGACAAATTCTGCAAGATTATCTTATCCAAGGTATCTAAAATAGTCAAATTCATAGAATCAAACTGTAGAACAGGATTGCCAAGGCAGAGGAAGGTGAGAAATGAGGAGTTACTAATCAATGGGCATACATTTTCAGTTAATCAAGATGAATAAGTTCTAGAGATCTAATTGTATCTGTAGTAAACAATATGTATTATACACTTAAAAATTTATTAAGAAGTAGATTTCATGTTAAGTGTTATCCCAATTAAAAGAAAACTTTTAGTAAAGCTGGTATGCAAGCATTTCACACATCTAGTATGGAACTGGACCTAAGCCCATGGCTGTTTTTTAATTAATAAAAGTGGTAAATAAGAATTGTGTAACAAGTTATTATAAATAAAAATAAGCAAATCATGAAATACCAATGGTCAATAAATACATGAAAAGATGCTCAACGTCCTTAGTTATCAGAGAGAAATGTAAATTAAAATCACAAATTCCATTCACAAACACTAAATGCCTAAAATCAAAAAGATAAAAAAGAACATATATTGGTGAGGCTATGGAGCAATATAGACATTAATCATGGGAATATAAAACGTTACAACCACTTTGGAATAGTGAAATGTCAATTTCTAGAAAGTTAAATACATATTTACCCTGTCACCCACAAACTTCATTCTTTGTACCTATTCCCCAAAATTAAAACATGTTCACAGAAACCCTTGTACAAGAAATGGCATTTACACATAATAGCCAAAACCTAAAAACAACCAAATGTACCTTTGGTGAATAAACAAATGTAATTGTGGTATATTCGTACAATAAAATACTACTGAGCAATAAAAAGGAACTACCAAACATGAATGAACTGCAAAAACATGTGAGCAAAAGAAAAAGACACAAAATAATACATACTATATGATTTCTTTTGCTTGAAATTCAGTAACAGATTTGTTAAAATCTATAGTAATAGAATCAGAAAGTAGTGGCCTAGGGTAAGAAACTCTGTCTTGTTTTGCATGATGGAGAGGAGGCTATAAATAAATGTCTAACAAAACCCATGTAATTAACACCTATAGTATGCATTTTATTGTACATTATGCCTAAAAATTATATATAATGTTTATATGTGATTTATATATGATTTACATGTGTATGTGTATGTGTGTGTTTGTGTATATGTGTGTGTGTGTGTGTGTGTGTGTGTATATATATGTATATATATAAAACCTTTATATATGTACTTAAAGGTAACTTTTTAAAAAGGACATAGGACCTAACTTAAAGAAGTTTATATTGGCCAAAGATGGCACAATTTGAACATTGAAAACAATGATATCTTGAACATCTGTAATAAAATAAAACCTAACTAATACGCATAAGACAAGAGTTTGGGGGCACTAATTCAGTATTCTGAAAGCAGGTAACAGAAGAACATTAATCATCTCTACTTCATAAACTATGTTTCCATTGTCTAATCTTGGACTTTCTGGGCTGCAGGATAAATGGACACTATTTCTACTTGCTGATTATTGCAAATACAATACACTTGTTTGCATCTTCTTTTCACTACACACATCTCCCCATGAGTCCCAACAGCCTCACCTGCCACACTTCAACTTTCCCTTGAAGGAGTAAACCAGCCAGCAGGTCCAGGCAGGGGCCTGGAATACACCTGGGTCCTCTTCAGGCTCTCCTAGGGCCCTAGCTCCATGAGAGACAGATGTAAACCTGAACGCCCAACGGTATCCAGAAGCAGCGTAACATGGGGCCTGGGGCCTCATGCCCTGCCCCTCTTCAGCCTGAGCAGAGGGGAGAAGGTCTCACCACTGATTTTTCCCTCGGCTCTACTCCTCTGGAAGCTTTGCTCCTCTGCTACTATTTATATGTCTTCCTTCGTTCCATTCCAAATATTTTATTTTGTCTTCAACTGAAGATGATTCTTTAAAAATTCATGTGTTATCACATAATTATGAGGCATTACATTGTACATATGGATGCTAAGTAAATAAATAAGAACAAGGCAAGTAGTGGTCCACAAAGTATATACTGGCTTTTTAAAACTCATGTATTTTTTTTTCCTTTTTTTATTGTGATGCCTTTCTATTAGAAATACAATTAAGAGGAATTATGTTTAGTCACCGGAATCCAATTACTTTGACTGGTTAGTGTTTGTATTTAGAGATTGATTCAAGGACTTAATTCCCACATGAGACAGTTAATTTCACTCATCTTCCTATTAGAGATTCTACCCTCACCCCGGCCAGTGATGTCCCTGGGCATCAGAGTGGGAATCATTGCAAACACATAATTACAACTAGAAAATCAATGAAAAGTACAATGTTTTATTGAACATCTTCATACATGAACAAACAGTTGCTAGATAAATTATATAAATCTTCTTGGAAGACTTCTGTAAGATTACTTATAAATATGTTGAGAAACATCACACGTGGTTATTTTAAAATCTGGGAAAAAATAACGGTTCTCGCTCCCTAAATCTGGTATTCCGTTTTGCTTTCAAATATGAATAAAAGTATTCTGTTTGAAATCATCTGCTTTGTAGCAACATGGATGCAGCTAGAAGCCATTATCCTAAGTGAATTAATGCAGGGACAGAAATCCAAATACTGCATGTTCTTGCTTTTAAGTGGGAGCTAAACATTGGGGATTCATGGCCATAATGATGGCAACAATAGACACTGGTAACTGCGAGAATGAGGAGGGAGGGAGTTAGGGGTTGAAACAGTAACTACTGGATATTATGCTCATTACCTGGGTAACGTGACCATTCATATCCAAAACCTCAGCATCACATGATATACCCATGTAACAGAACTGCATATATTAATGCCCCGAATCTAACATAAAAGTTGACATTATTTTTAAAGTGCTCTGTTATCTTTCTTATTAATGTCCAGCCCAATTCTGTAAAAATAATGAATATGGGAGTCTATATTTATTCACAAGCATTATTGATGGATCTTATGATCAAGGATCACTAGGGAGGCACAGTGCTGAGATCCTTTGACAGTTGTGGTTATAATTACATTTACAAGCTACACCTGCCATTAGAGAATGCTTGGCAACAGATTGTTTGCCAGCAAGCAGGCTACAGGCATGGAACAAACAATACCCAATACATATGCTTGGCCTCATGGGCATTATGCTCTTATCTGAAATAACTGGCCCAGACACTTTTTTTTTTTTTTACAAAACATACTTGAATACTTTTTCACACATTGTCGATGTTAAGTCTTGGAAGATACTGTCAGAGGAATTTGTAAAGTTACAAAATAAAGGGGCAAAAAATGTGAAGAATTTAAATTGTCTTCTAGGCTGTCACTCTTGCTATCTTTCTGGATAATGCATCCAGTCCCCAGACATTAGCATTAGCATGTCCAGTCTTGAAGGAAACATGCCTTCCTCCTATAAGAAACTGGCTGCTTTAGAAAAGCAGCTCCATTAGAAATTCCGATACCATAAAGAAAAATATATTATTTCAAAATACATATATTTAATTTATACCTAGAGTATGTTATATCATCATGTTTCTACACTTTGCAGCAAGGAGGTAATTTCCTAAACTAAAAAAACTTCAATATATTTAATAACACATATGATAGGGATGAAAACTACAAACGTGTTCACAATGAGCTAGGTTTAAAATCTGTTTCCATCAAACATATTACCTTATCTAAAAATAGCTCACCACACAAAGAAAAATCAGACAGCAAGGATAGTAAATCTTAAGGAAATAAATTATTTATGTCCTAAAATATAAGTGTATGCATAACTGAGAAGTAATTAAGTTAAATTATACTGGGCTTTACTCCACACTAACGTAAAATCTTGTATCTTCTATGACAGAATATACAACTACTTTACGTAAAATCAGTTTTTATTCATTTTCACTGTTTGAATAACATCTCAAATTGCCATTTGAAGTTTTCTTTTAGCAAACTTTCACAGTTCTCACAAGTATCGAGATTTGATAATGCTACTTAAGTGGCTTTGAAGTAGCAGAATGAAGGTTTTAAAAATAAGAATAGATGGGCCTCATTCTACTAAGAGATAGCATTTAAAGCAAGAAATAATACAACATGGTTAAGCAGCTCAGTCGCTCTTCCCTCACTGAGGTGGTTTTCTATAAAGGAGTCTGAAGGAAAATGAACAATGTCCACTTACAAGAAGAAAATAAAACAATAGAAGAGCAGAAATTAGTGGTATTATGCACACTGGCTAAAAGAAAGCATACCTTTCTCTCTCTCCTTCGGTGATATCATATAAGCGGTTGGCACCTCCATCAGCACAGGCTCTTAAAAGAGCTTCAAATAGAAAGAACAAAATCATTTCAATACAGGAGGCACAGAGCAATATCTTTCAAATGATGATCACTAAAAAGAAGGCACTCAGATGCACACAGTCATGCTAACCTCCATGAATCATTTCACATTCATCTGTTGACACTGCTGGTACTAAAAACGATTCTATATCGCTCATGACAAATGACAAGTTTATTTCCTTTCTGCTTTTTTTTTTTTTTTTTTTT